CACACACACACACACACACACACACACACACACACACACACACACACACACACACACACACACACACACACACACACATTCAAACACACACATTAGCCAAAGGGGGAAACCAAAGATGAACAGAGTCGAAGGCCACCAGAGAAAGAGAGAGAGAGAGGTGTGAGAGAGAGAGAAAGGCTCATGCACACGCGTTCATACAAGAACCTAAAATCACACCAATTTGACGAAGTTAAAAACCATCACACCAGCTCCAAGACTCTGCAGAGGAAAGTGACTTAGAAAATTATCGCAGCAAAATTCCCTGAAACACTTCTCCACCTCTCCGATTTCCCATCTGCATCCTACCAGAGCAACACTAAGCTCTACCACTCTTGAAAATCTCCAACTGAAAGTCGCGCCAGATCCAAGGCCAAAGACCATTCTGTCGCCCCGCTTGGATCATCAGGTCATCGGGCCTGTTGAAGAACCTGCACTCCTAACAGCAATCTTGTCACTTGCTTGAAGCACCCGACACGCTGGGCCCGGTACGAATCCTACCGGCATAGCGAAAAGATGAGAGAGCGAAGGGCTCGCGACAGCGACTTTTATCGGATCGTGGAAGAGGTGATCGGACCGCGGACGAGGGGAAAGAGGGTTGGTAAAGGGGACCCACATATGAAGGTCCCCCTTACTAAAGCAAATGTAAGATCGTGGAAGAGCAGAGATAAAGGTAGGACCCAAATATGACAACCGGGGCCTGAATGCAATCTTTGCAGTGTTCGCACTCATTGAGCCAAGAACTTAAGGCTCAGGATTTAGGGCCTCGAGATGGGAAGCGTATCCTTCCATAAAAACTGGAAAGATTCACTCTCCATTTCAGACATTTGGCGAGTTGCAGAGCAACGCCTCTGAATTCACGTGCTTTGGTTTTCGCTTACCCATCTAGGGTTTAGGATCAACCTCATTCCGGGCTTAGAGTGCACGAGGAGTTCTGTTCTGAGTCTCTTGCCTACCATCTTCCTCCGAACACAACACACCCCGCAACCAAGCTATCTTTCCGGTCTGATGCACTCATTACAAGGGTCCGTTGCCGGTAGGCTTGGGATCCAGGGTCGAGGGTCAAGTGATCTGAGTCTAGGGTCAAGTGAGCTGAATTTAGGGTTGCGGTTCTGAAAATGAGAACCTAGGGTTTATGGTCTAGGGGTTAGTCCTTTGGCTGTGGGGGTTGGGGATTAGGGGTTAGTTCTACTAGTAGAGCTTAGGACCTTCTGAGGCTTGGACTGTGCAATTTAAGGTGCAGGGTTTGGGCTGTGGTTCCGAATAAGGGCCTAAGGTCCAGGACCTAGGCCTAAGGTTTACATTCTAAGTTTACTGATAGGACTTCTTGGGTGAATTCTAGGGTCCTAGAGTCCTCGGTTTAGGATGTGTTAGTTCTAGAGGCTTCAGTTCAGGATGGGTATTCTAGGGTTCACGTTACTAGGAGTTCTAGAGTCCTCGGTTCAGGATGGGTTAGTTCTAGAGTCCTCGGTTTAGGAAGAGGGTTAGTTCCAGAGTTTAGGACCTTTTGAGGCTCGGATTGTGCAATTTACGGTGCAGGGTTTGGGGTGTGGTTCCGAATTAGGGCCTAAGGTTTAGGACCTAGGCCTAAGGTTTACATTCTCAGTTTACTGATAGGACTTCGAGGGTGAATCCTTGGTTCAGGATGGGTTAGTTCTAGAGTCCTCAGTTCAGGATGGGTTAGTTCTAGTGTCCTCGGTTCAGGACGGGTTAGTTCTAGAGTCCTCGGTTCAGGACGGGTTAGTTCTAGAGTCCTCCAAGGGGTTAGTTCTAGAGTCCTCCGAGGGGTTAGTTCTAAAGTCCTCTGAGGGGTTAGTTCTAGAGTCCTCCGAGGGGTTAGTTCAAGAGTCCTCCGAGGGGTTCGTTCTAGAGTCCTCGTGTTCTACGGTTCACGTTACTTTTGAGGGTTTGCGTTGCAGGGTTTCGGGTTTAGGGATTAGGTTCTAGGGTGTTAAGGTCAAGGGTTGTGATTTTTCAAGGTTCAGCAGCCAAGACTTTAGAAACAGGGTACGACGGTTCAGGGTTTCGGGTTTAGAGTCGAGGGTTTAGGGTTTAGGGTGTAGAGTCAAAGGGTTAAGGTCTGCAATTGATTAACGTTAGTATATCTATAGCAAGATCAGAAGGTCCTATCGATACGTTTTAAGCCCTATCTATACGTTCATTGCAAAGGGCAACTGTCCTTGAGAGGTATACTGCAACCGGCCTGCAATACAGCACAAGTGGTTGACAGGTACCCCCAATTTTCAGCCCCAGGTTACACCCACCCCAGCCCTGAAAAGTCTGCCTTAAAAGGTGAGGGACGTTTCTTATAATGACCATGAAAAAACCCTGGAAATTTAGGCTCTGTTAATTTAGTACTTAGCATCAAGTATAACCAGAACGACACGACGACCAGCCGTAACTCAGCTCTGGCAATGAAGAAAAGAGCATCTTCGCTCTTTACTCGTGGTGCTAGGGGCGCAAGGAGACAGAGAGAAAGAGGAGAGAGAGAGAGAGAGAGAGAGAGAGAGAGA